CGAAGGTCATGTCTTGAATGGCCTTTTAGGAATTCTCCTGCAATGGAGCTTTGAAGGTTCAGAATGAGAACGCAAGGTTCCTTGGCACCTAAGCAGGTACCAAAGGACCCCTTTTTACCCTCCCATTGCCGGCATCCTCAGAAATTGTGTGGGGACCCGTTAGGAGTTCTTGGTTGCTGTTGACCCCTCTGCAAAAAGTTCTACTCTTTGTGGGTCCAAGTTCAAAAAATCCACACTTTCCCAAAAGCGAAATCCAAATAGCCATAAAGAGTTGTGGATGCAACTGCCCTCGTTCCGCAATCGATCTGCCCAATCGGAGCTGACCAATTGCAACGGGAATCCCTTCGTGCTGAGGAAAAAGCCGTTCAGGCGGAATCTCGCTTCCCAAACCGAATGACAGGTCATTCGGAGTCCCCTCAAACTGGGGTTGATTTATAGGGGCTCGACATTCAATGGAAACCCAACCACCCTGGATCGCCAAGATGCGATCGCTTTTTTCAGTCACTGTTGCGATCGGTTTTTGGGATAAGTTCATGGAAAAAAGCAGCAACTGGCGATCCAGGACTAAACTATCTAACAAAACAAACTAAGGAACTGGCCGGAGATCCCCGTTTCGGTTCTGCCGAACCGGCCACCACCGCCGCCCGATTCGGCCGCCCTTGGCAACCGGCCAAACATCAGCCCGGGTGGCATCCTTAACAGCCCGCTTTGGAACCCTGAAAGGCACCGAATCTCCTTTGAAACCCCCCCTGGATCCCCAGCAAGGCCTTTAGTTTCCACCTACTTTTGCCAAATTATAGGCCACCACCTGGATCGCCAGTTGCGTTCGCTTTTTTCCATGAACTTTACCCCAAAAACCGATCGCGACAGTGACTGGAAAAAGCGAAAAAGCAACTTGGCTATCTAGGTAGTGGGGTTTTGTGGCTGGGAACCCCAGCCGATGTCTGGGCCGATCGGCCCCAGAACGCTTTCAGCGGCTGGGGAAAAATATGCCGCCGACGGGCCCCTCTTCGACTGCCAAGAAGATTCGAACACATCTCAAGGTCCTCCAGTAGAGAGGCTCGAACCAGCGGTACCTTTTTTTTCTGTCCATCGTGGGGAAGGACCCAGCCCCGCCCAGTTTCGCCTTTTCGCTTTTCGAAGGTCGCTGCGATCGGGGGGTAAATTAAAAAAATCCATCGCGAAACCGCAGCTTCCGGGCCGGCAGCCCTCAATTGCTCCCCCGGATTCTTTGGCAAGTCGCTGGTTCGGCGCTTTGGGCTTGAGGGAAAAATGCCTCTTTTCAATCAAGAGGTCTAAGGGGCGATCATGAAGACCCAAGCTGACTTTGCATTGGCCAGGAAAAGTTGAAACATGCTCTTTACCCCCAGAACTTCCATTTGCTTAAGCCAAAAAACAACATGTCCAGTGCCCAGTAGTCATAGATTCCCTTTAAAACCAACTTGGATCGCCCAGCTGCTGTTTTTTTCCATGAACAGTACCCCAAGCAGCAACAGTGACTGAAAAAAGCAGCAACTTGGCGATCTAGGAATCTTCTTAAGCAAATGGAAAAGTAAAATGTCCTGGGAGCCCAACACAGGGGAAGCGAAACAAGTCGTGAGATTCCGATTCGGTTCAGCGGAGGTGGTCGTCCCAGCAAAAAATGGAACTCAGGGAGAGCGAGTTGATTGTTCAAAGTAAATCTAGCTGGAGCAAAGAACCCCTTGCTCCAACTGCCAACGCCTTTTTGGGGTATTTTCAGAAAATATAGCTTTTCGTGGTGAATACCGCCTTTTTTAGGTAAGAGTTGACATGAAATGATACCCATTAAGAACGGTGGGTACTTGGAGTAGAGGGTACCCAAAATGTGGAGATTGCCAAGGCTAGACTATGATTGACTCCAACTCCTTTAAAACCACAGTGGATCCTTCATAGAAGGCAACCAAGAAAAAACTGCCCAATTAAACAAAAAAAACAAAACAAAAGGAAAAGAGCCACAAAGCAACCAGTTGGTTTTGGATGGTTTTGGTCACCGACCCACTTCTTCGTTGCTTCTTGGCTTTCGTGCACCCCAGAGCAAGCTGGAGCGCATCCCAGGGAACGTTGGAACCGATCGACCGATTCGGCGAGGTTCCAACCGGCCGCAAGACGTGTGTTCCACATACACGGCATGTGCCTGGAAACACTCCAACTACCTTAAAAATATGAGCTGTTGCCCTGAAATTATGCGATAAATAGGTATGGGGCAAAATTACACCACCAGAAAACCGCAGGTTTTTGGTCCATGTGTCCATTTTCTGGGCTTCGATTTGGGGTACCGATTTTTGACCCACAGCCAAATGAGGTATAGTTGACATGTTGTTCATTCCGGCCTCGGTCATCCTTGCCGTCTCGGAGCAACCCAGCAGAGAAAAGGCGCAGCTCGCGCTCCCGGACGCGCGGGCGCGCGCGAAGGCGCGCGCCGCTGGATCTGCAAAAAGGCGGTCATTCCTCGGTGGGCCGCGGTCGGAGGCGCGAAGTGTCCCACGAAAACTGGGCCTAAGCTTGGTTGCTGTAACGACCCCCCTGCAAAAAGTGAGCTTTACTTGTTGGGGGGTTAGTGGAAAACCCAACTTGATTTCAACCAAAAAGATAAAGTCTAAAGATCCAACCCAATAGCAGTCAAGTAAGGGGGCGTGTTTTTGAGGGCGCCCTTTTCACCCTCAGTTGTAAGAGGGACAAAGGAGGGCAATCAAACTAATTGGGGGTCGCGCTATGTGGCATCATCACCTGCGCTTTCGGGAACTTGCAAGATCATGTCAGAGCTCAGGGCGACATGTGGATGCGTCGATTTTGATGACACTCCTTTTCTCAGTTGCCCAACGGACCCAGAAATACCAGGCTCACCTCTTGGAGGAAAAAGGGGCAAAGGCCCAAGAGGTCGGCGTTTATCGCTTTGGGCTTTGGCGCGTTTCGTGTAGGCGTCTTGAAGGACGCCTGCGAGGGAAAGCCCAGGTCAAGTTGATTTGTCACGCGGCAGTCGCAGACCTGGAGCCTGTGGTGCAAACCCTTGGGGTATGGTGGGTGGTTTTGGGGGTTCTTGGGAGTTGGGGTTCATTTGTGTTTTGTTACTTTTCCTGCTTTTCTTCCTTTTTTTTTTGGGGGGGGGGAGGTGAGGTGTTGGGGTTGGGGGGTTGGCTATTTCAGGTTTGAAGTATTCGGGTCCAAGAAAGGAGCCCTTTAAGAAGTGGAAGCCCATTAAGTTCCTGCCCATCAGCGGTTCGCTTTCTGAGTCTGCAAAAAACGTGAGTGGCCGAAAGCTAGCGAAGCTGAAACAAACACTAGATGCAATTCGCTCGCAAGAAAGTTGGTTAGGGGTTGGGCCGGCAAAATACGCTGGATGTCCCTGCTCAACCACAAAAACGGTAAATCACCTTCTTCCTGAGAGGAGTGGCAAAAACAAAAAGCAAACTTGTTGGTTGACCACTAAAACGGTCTGCGCAAGAAAGTTGTCTAGAGTCCAGGGCAATTCACCCCCACCAAAGGAACAGTCACTTGAAATGGGCGCCCCCCCCCCAAACAAAAAAGGCGCCAAACCAGGTTCAAATGATGGAAAGAGAGGGAAACCGGACCGAAGCCAGTCCGAACCGGACCTCAGGAAGTGAGCCACAGAGACGCAATTCAACGAATGTTCCCTTACTTCTTGGTTGCTGTAACGACCCCCCCTGCAAAAAGTGAGTTTCACTTTCTTTTCTTCTTCTTCTTCTTTTTTTTTTGGGGGGGGGGGTAAATTCGGAAACCCCAACTTGGTTTCAACCAACAAGCTAGCCCAATAACAAGTCATTTCATGTCAAGGAATCTTCCCTTACTCAAAGTCTTACGGATGGCCGGGGTGCGGGATATCCCCCACCACCCCCCACCCCAACTCCGACACGGCCGGATTTGGAATAAGCCGCCCGTGAAGGCCCGGTGAGCATGTCCAAGCGCTTCTTGGTGCGATGCAACTCTTCCTGGAGCTGCAGGAGGTGAGTCACTTGCTCAAAACCCGGTATTAAAATGGCCGTGACTCAGGTGCCCCCGCTGAACCCCCGACATACGATGGATGCACGAAATATCCATGTCGCGCCACCGGAATCAGAAACCACGGGGGGAATGGTTGTCCTGTAAATACCAACAAACAATGGTTTCAACCATGGCTTCAAAGTGGTGCAGGTGTTCGTTCATCCACAGTATCCCCTCCAATCTACAGCGACTTGCTATTGTTTTGTTTTTTCCCCGCATGCGTATAGGAAATATCTCTTTTCCAGCCAGGCTTTCCCATGCTAAGACTAGTCCTCCAGTAGAGTGGTTTGAATAAGGGTACCAACGTTTTTTCTGTCGTCGATTTTAGTAAGGGACCCTCCCCCAAAAAAAGGGTAAAAGGGCACTACTGTTCGCCCATTTTTCGAGGTAGGGAAACCGAGGACAGAACCGTGTTTCAAGACTTTTTCCCAACAGTGGTTGGGTTCCCTGTGGTGCCCCTTTAGGATGCCATCCCACAAACACCAAAACACATCACATTACCCCTAGTTCTTGGTTGACGAAGGAAGGGGAGCAACATTTTCACAATTTTAGCAGTGAAGTGGATTTGGATTTCAACCACTAAACCACAATAAGCTCCAGAAATATGTTTTAAAAAATGTTTCCCAACGACAACCAAGAATTTGTGCTTTGGTTTGGGTTTGGAAGTTTGTTCGTCTTGTCTTTTCTTTTGGCTTCAAAAGGTGGGGAATTGTCCGTACCCCCAAGCCAGGGGGACCGAAAAAAAGAAAGAAAAAGAAACCAGACGCCCCCCCCCCAAAAAAAAAACACACAAAAACCAAAAAAAAAGAAGAGAAAAGAAGAAAACACTTGGAAACAAAAAGGAGAACAAAACAAAAAACCGCAACAGCCAAGGGTACCTGAAAAAAAGAGGAAAAAACTGAAAAGAAAGGATACCGAACCGTAACAAGAAGCACATCATGGGCCTGTGAGCTTCCATGTTGAAGCACCGATCAAACCCTTCAAGGGACACCCTTACTCATCCCGTCGTTGTCAAGAGCCCCCCGAATAAAAGACCCCAATCCCAATGGGGAATAGGGGCCAATAGCCACAAAGAAGGCTTGTTAGAAACTGAGCCTAGATGTGCGCGGTGCCTTTTTCAAGCGAACCAGAGCTCCCGAGCTCTTTTGCTCTCTTAAACCACTCACGCCCAGGAACGGATCTGGACATAGTTCAGGCGATATAGGTCCATGGGAATCCATGTTGGACCCTTAAAAGGGGAGTGGTGTCCCATTTTGTTTTTGCCATAGCTAACGGTTAATTCACCCAAAAGCCAGGGCTTCATGCCACGGGTGCATACCCACTCGCATAAACCAAATTGAGCGAAACCTCGATTCATGGACCAACTCTACAACAAAAGGAGCTAGATATTCGGAGCTTCGGCGCTTACGACCGCAGCCTATCCGGTGGCTCAGACTTTTTTGGGGATCGACCCAAAGAATTTTGGGTGGAGGTGTGACTCAGCCTCATTTGCTCCAACGGCCCCGTGGATATAGCGAAATCCATTTAAGCTTCTCGGGACCCAAGAAACCAACTGGTGTCTGATTCGATCCCCCAACGTAAATACCAATGAACGTTCTTGTTTCAACCATGGTGCATCTGTTCGTGCGAGATTTGGGGATTTCCTCCATCTACTACATGGGTTGGCGGGGAGCTGTTGGCTGGCCCGACCTCGCAACGCCCAGCGGCTTCCAATTGCTTAGCTTAAGCCCCCTGGAAATAATAAAATAATAAAAACCAAGAGGGGAAAATCACGAAAATATTCTTCAGCAAATGGAAAGCGAAACCACTCCTCCACAAAGGTCCAGAACCTCGCCGTGTTCTTGATGAGCCACGCCTGAGAGCGATAGGCCGGGAACGATTTTCCGAGTCAGGGTGTTGGTTGAACGAACCGTTTGGGCGTTCCCTTATAGAGGAAACCAAATTGGATGCCTACATAGCCAAGTTGCGATCGCCTTTTTCAGTCACTGTTGCGATCGGTTTTTAGGGTAAAGTTCATGGACAAAAGCAGCGACTGACGATCCAGGTGGATGGTTTTGGGGGCGCTCTCCCATTCCCTGCTGAGACGGCAAGTTTCAGCCTTTCAAACGTTCCATGACCCGCCGCGCGGAAGACCTCAAGATCCACTCACGTCCGATCGAGAGGATTGGCCTAGAAATGTTCTAGACTTTTGTGTTTACCACTAAAGTGGTCTTCCCAAAAAGTGACTAATGTCCAGGAACTCTTGAGCCCAACCAGACAAGCCCCCAAGTCTAACACACGCGCGCGCACACGCAAACACACACACACACACACACACACACACACACACACACACACACACACACGCACACACACTTTGTAGACCAAACTGTGGCCTCTTTATGTGTTAGGCAGTTAGTCGCGCAAGAACCTACGTAACAACCTACGTCGCAACTCACTTTGTAAGTTAGCCCTGCCCCTGCGGCAAGCAAACAGCCTCAATACAATCAACCCTACGTGGCTGCAACATGTTTATTTACATGATTTGTTCCACAACCCTTTTCCCATACCCAAAACCTCCCTGTCCAGGCAAAACACATATTGCAAAGTGAAGAGGCCACCGTTTGGTCCAACACACACACACACAAACACCAGAAAAAAGTCCAGCCACTACACCAACTATAAACCTGAAAAACAAAAGGGGAAACCCCAACCACTCAATGTCAACCAACTAAAGCTACAGGAAACCGGCACCCCAACCACTGAACCAACTAAAAGCCTACAAAACACCGAAGTCAAACCAGACGCTTCGCGGTTGGGTTGCCAAGCGACGTATCCCTCAGATCCAGAGGGTGTCAGCCGTGTCCTTTTGGCTTTAGCCCCATGGCCCAAAAAGGGCACCTCCCAGCGACCCAGAAAAAGGCCTTGTTCACACCCAGTCTTGGGGCCACGAAGAAATGTTTTAGGGTCCTTTGGAGGCGGCTTCTTACAACGAGCGGAGAAAAATAACGGCGGCGGCTTACGAGCGGAAACGCACAAAAGGGAAAAACAAACAACAAAACGGAACAAAGGATCGATGGATCGATCCTGGTCGTGGCAGAGCTTGGCCATGTCCATGGCACGCGCAGAGCCCCGCAGCCGCAGGCAGCCCATCAAGAACTCCTTGGAAAACGGCGAAAACTGGGGGTCGGTTCCGTTTGGACCTTAAGCCCAACCAAAAAGGGTATCCGCAAAAAAAAAAAACGAGACTCATGTGTAGATTTGACCATGTTTTGAAACCGAAAGGACCCGAATGGACCTGAAGGAACTGAAAGGAATCCATGTTTTTGGGATTCTTGCTGGTTCGATGGGCAGGGTGTGAGGGATGGAATGACCCTTATAAAGCATCCAACTGGTGGCTTCCTTTAAGGGAATGCCTGGGTTCATTTCCACATTCCCTATTGAGCACCAGCAAGGATTGTCCCCCTTGGAAACCAGAAGCGACCAAAGGGAACAAGGTAACTAACCCCTAGTTGGTTGGGATCGGTGCTTCGGATTCGAATTTGAAGTTCTTCTTCCTGTGGAGCTGCTGTTTTCCATTGTGGGCGTTGTCAAGGTCGGAAACTGGTTGGTGGTCTCCCTTGAGCCTACCACTTGGGGCGATGACTTTGACTCTTGGGGCCAACCGAAGCTTTGCGCCGACCATTCTTTTCGCGAAGTCTGTGAAGCAGGGGTCACTGTCCAAACCGAGTGGATTGATCAATTGGTTCATTGGAACGATCACCACTTTTGGAGGCAAAAGGAAGATGGAGGAAGCCCTGTGAAAGGGACGGTCTACACCTCACGTCCCAGAAAATCGGAACAAATGGTCCTGGGAACCTCACTCCTAAAAGCAAACACCCATACGTCAAAAAAGATCCTTCGGTGTTTTGTGGGGCATTGGGAAATCCAATTTGCCGGGAGGGTCTTTGATTTATCTGTGCCTCGGTGGCCTCGTCTGAGCCAGCCTTCACAAGCACCGGTCAGCAAGAAGCATTGGTAGATCGTCAGGATCCTCATTGTCGTCTGAGTATCATATGGGAACTCAAAGGCACCAGATTCTTGGGCGTAAGCGCGGCTTACACCAGTGACGGACATCAAGTAATCAGCGGCCACATGTGGGAAGGCCTGAAAAACTTGGAGATCGATTTCTTTCTTGTGGAACGATTTTTTTAATATTTGCAGATGGAAACGGGCCCTTTGCATAGCCCATGTTTGCAGGACGCTGCCATCTTGAGAAGGCCACTGGTTCGCTTACATATTTTGAAACAGCCTACCCTCCTTCCAACAATCATGCAAGTGGACAGGACGCTGGGCTGTCCTCAAATCCCCTGCTAAAACTGCAACTTTTCGTGACTGAAACGGAAGCCCCACTCAACCCCCTAAAACCGAAAACCTAAGGAACCGGACGGGAGGTTTCCAAAAGGGAAAGTACAACTTTTCACACCAAATACCCTGTTTTTTTTCAGGGTATATGTCGACCCTCTACTAAAAAAGGTTTGGTACTAACCATGGAAAGCCGATGGGCTTTCAGCCAAAAATACCAACTGAAAAAAGCTACGGTATTTTGAGTAGGGGGAGAACCGCCTGCATTCTCCTTTGCCAAATCATGGGCTACTAGTGGGTAAAGTGGCAGGAAAAGTGGCTATTTGGGGATCCAGGTACCACGTTCCACACCCCTGCCCAGTTTCCAGATCTTTCACACCCGGTCCTCGACCTCAATGGCCCCGCCTGCGGTTGAGGGAATGCTGGGGATGGACTGCGTGTGCAACCCTCCGCTTGCCCAAAGGGACCTGGAAATGCCCATGACGACCCAAAGGACAAAGAATCGGAACCCGGAATGGGGAAACCGAACCATTCAAGAGCTCGGCGTTGGCAACTGAGTCGGGTATTGGGTTGCTCGGGCCACCAAGATGGAGAGTGTCCATTGGCAGGGGGCATCCCCTACCAAAAAGGTAACCTTTGCCGGTTTCCGGGAAGATGAAGGAAGCCCAACTAGGTCCTCCAGTAGAGAGGTTAGAATAAGGGTACTGATTTTTCTGTAGTCTATTTTCTTAGGGGAACCGTCCGCAAAAAAAAGTGTAAAAGGGCACTACTGGGGGACCTAGCCAAAACAGCAAAAAGGCCGGAAGGCTTAAGTCTAGCAACGTGTCCACTTCGGAGTCATGCGAGCCCTGGTCCAAACCCGCATGGAGCACGCAAGCCCCAATCCCCACCCCACAAAATACGTATTTGATCCTTGTCCATGTTTGGGTAGGTTGCTTTTTGGGTACCCGTCTTGATCTGGTGTTTGGAGGGAAGACGGAAACCAATCATTTTGGGGGACCAATCCCTTCGAGACAACCCGAAATGAGTTCAAAGGAGACCAAAGCTTTGGCCATTACAGGGTTCCTTAGGCACCGAAGAAAGGCGCGGAAACTTATGGACGTTCGCGAGTCCCAAATCTGGTCCTTCCATGCAGCCCGGTTAACACGCCTCGACTCGTGGCAAGCTGATGAGTGCATTAATGCCAGTGAGAGGCATTCAAGCCACAACCGCTTCGACACAGGATTCCTGTCTGTGAAAGATTGTTGACGAGTGGGAGAACACCACATGCCCCCCAAAAAATGCAAAAAAAATGCAAAGTTTGAGGATGCAAACATGATGCATCCAAACAGCAGTCGAGAAAAAATGTGACAAGAACCTAAACGGCAAGCGCCATCCACGAACCAGACCTGAGTAATCCCTAGGTGCCCAAGACCCACCCCATACTCCAAATACGCTGCACTCTTTTTTTTCAGTTGGTATTGGTTGGGCCTATCCCAATCCATATATTCCTTGGAACCCATCATACCAACTCAAAACAGTAGGTATTTGGAGTAGGGGGCGCTTGTTTCAGGGCATGGGCTATGATGCCCTAAAAAAGAGATCGGTGCTTCTCTGGACCGGGTTCCAAAGATAGCCTCAAGAAAGGCAGGGGTTGGAGCTTTCAGCGGACCTTTGAAATACCGAATCGTAAAGGCTGTACCGTACATACCGAATCGCCTTCAGCCTTGTTCGGGTGCCAAATGGGTTGACAAAAAGCTCCTGGCTTCCCAGGTCAAAAAGAATGCCTCGACTTTTCGGGGTTTCGCATGAGCCGCAGAAAAGAGCTCGGCATCGCAAAAAACAACAACGAATCCACCTGCATAGCCAAGTTGCGATCGCTTTTTGTCAGACACTGTTGCTGGTTTTTGGGGTAAACTCAGTTGTTCAGTGACCCTGGAGAAAAAAAAGGGAACCCTTTTTTGGGGAAGACCATTTTAGTGGGGCAGCCACAAGAAGAAGAAAAAAAAGGGGGGGAAAAGGGGGCCACTGAACAACTGAGTAAAGTGCATGGGGAAAAAAAGCGATCGCTTGCCAGAGGACCACATCCAGGACGGCATGGAGATCGAAAAAATGTTCTCCCTCGGAACATAGGTGTCCTTTTTGGAAAGATAGATGGGTTTCCCTGGTAGGTGATTGAACCACCAGGCAAACCAGGAAGCGCCTATCTTTTTAAGCAAATCAACATAAATCAACCAACAAGGACACCCAGGTAAACCAGGAATCGCCTTCCATTTTTTAAGCAAACCAAAAAGGACACCCATGCCTCGGACTCTTTTTTCGGCTTCTGGGCGCTCGGACCGTTGTCCAAATCCAAGAGCTTGAAGAAGGACCAGGCCTATGCGATTCGATCCGTCCAGAGGCTTGCCCGGACGAAAAATGGGAGAACATATCCAGGTCCTCCAGTAGAGAGATTAGAATAAGGGTACCAACTTTTGTCAGGACGTCTATTCTAGTAGTTCGAAGTCCCTACTGTGGAGAAGAAAGAACACACTCCCTACTGTGGATGGACGAAATCCGCTTCTCGCACCACTTGGAAACCATGGGTGAAACCGTTGTTTGTTGGCATTTACAGGGGAATCATCATTCCGGGTTTCCTAGGCGGTGCAGGATTTGGTCCATCCACAGAATCATATGGGTGCGGCTCAAAAATCGGGTCCAAAATGAAACCCTGGCAAGTGGAAAGGTAGACCAAAACCTGCGTAACTGCAGCTGATTGATTTTGAAAACCCGGATGTCCAGTCAGGTCCGCTTTCCTTCAATGGGTGGTTTGCCTACCCAACACCCACCTCGCAGGCCGCCTTTCTCAAAAAGGCTCTTGCCCCGAAAGAAGCGGTTACCCCTAGCCTTTGGCTGGCGTACCCCTTTGCCAGGGATACTGAAAAAATCTGAAAAACCCCATGGCTCCGGGATTGCAAGGGGCCAATGGACAAACAAACTCCCGGTGCAGAAGGGGAAATTGCAAAGATCGCCCAGCCCCAACCCCCCGCCGTCTAGGGCTGGCCGAAAGCAGGGCGAGGCTCTCGCTCTCGCGAATCGGATTTTCCAACTCCCGTCCGAGACGCGTCCCAGATGTCCAGGTCGATGGACTCGAAGTAGGTCTGCACCTCCTTGGTGCCCACCTTGTTCTGGAACATCCTGCGCCGAGCCGCGTGGGTCCTTTTTGTCCAAGCTCCGGGCTCGAGCTATCCATAAACCCCAAAAAAGGGAGCTCACCAGCCGCCCAAGGTTCCCCTTCGTTGGCGGCCTGGGTTGGTGGCGTTTCTTTGGATCTGAACCCTTGGTTCTAGGGGGAAGGCTCCCCTGTCCGGAAGACCACCAAACCACCGATCCGGCTCCAACTCGCGGGGCGAGGAACCCCTGTCGCGATGCGCACGCAAAATCAGCGAAATCAGCGAAAACCAAAACCCCCATGCGCTCGTGCATGAAGCTTCGGCCAGAGGCGCTGGTAGGTGATGACCCCCGTGTCTTCCGCGTCTATCTCGTTGAACCTGAGGAACCGCAGGTACAGCGCAGGCTGGTTTTTTTTTCTTCTCCGTTTGCATGAGCTGTCGCAGGAAACCGATGCGGCCATTTACCGTGCTGTGTTACCGTGGCTGTGTGGTGAACCCTTGAAGCTTGCGAGGTGTGCGGCATACATGTGAGGGTGTCCAGAACCCCCCCAAAAAAAAAAAAAAAAAATGGTGGCTTGTGTTCCTCTTCGCTTCTTTGAAAATCCCCCGCGAAAAGAAGCCCTTCCTCGGGGCTTCTTGGGGCCTCCCCCCCAGCCATGATAAAGTGGCCCTGCGGGGCTTCCTTTCCGCCGCGCGGCAGGTACCTGATCTTCTCGATGTGCGCCTTGGCGAACATCGATTCCCCTACGAACGGATCCCCTACGAACTGACCCCACTAGAAGAATTCACATGAGTCATAATCAAACCCCGGTACTAAAATGCAGGGGTTCTTTAGGCTCCAGGTACCCCCTACTCCAAATACCCGGCCTTTTTTCAGTTGGTATCATGTCGACCCTCTACTAAAAAGGGACCCGCACCCACCAGGGACGGTTTTCAACCAAAAATACCAACTGAAAAGAGCGTTGGTATGTGGAGTGGGGGGAAATCAAAACCCGGTATTCAAATTGCCTACCCGGAACATCCAGGGCCATGCTTCAGGAATTAAGAAGGCGGATATCCGCAGCTCTTTATGGCAAGGGCAAGGCAGCCAGTTCGGGGACTCTTGGCCAGAAACTCACTCCAGATCGAGCGCGCTGGCCAGCAAAACTCAAAAGTCCAGACTGCTTGGCCGCCACTAAAATGGTCTTCCCCGAATGTAGGCTCTGCTGCAAACACCAAAAAAAAAGCCGACCCTAAAAATACAAAACATGCTTGGAACGCGAACCCCCTGGGGGGGCAAACCATCCCATCCCTCCCCCCGTCCCCGCGGATAGTATTTTTCGCCTGCTTGTTCGCCAGGATCGACTGGAGCACCGCATCATGGTCGCTCTGCGCGCTGTCGATGGCACTCTGACAGAAGACCTGCAGCTTTTCTTGGTTTCACCAGGTGTTCGACCGAGAGGTGGGTGCTACCCACCACTGTATTAGGACTTTTGGTTCCAAGTGGTTGCAGTTATGGTTCTAAAGGTTGGAATCGGCCTTACTGCCACTATACAGCGAACTACACTGAAAAATCTGGGCGAATCCGTGCAGAATTATGCATTCCCAACTCGTACATGACAAAGCCTGCGAGTGGAGGACCTGCATATGCGAGATCGTCGAACGCCCCCTGCCTCCCTGGTACCTACCTAGATGGCCAAGTTGCGATTGCTTTTTTCAGTCACTGTTGCTGATTTTTGGGGTACAGTTCATGGAAAAAAGCGATCGCAACTGGCAATCCAGGTACATGGAAAAACAAAAAGTCCGCCGGTGAAGAAGGAAATGGGTGCCATCCCAAGACATACCCTTTCACCTTGGGTGCGTTTGAACAACAAAACCCGTAAAAAGACACCCCTTTTTGGGTGATTCCCATCAAAGTCTGTTCACCAGGCAGGTGTTTTTCCAGAAAAAACAATGGTTCAGAATCTGGCTCATACATAATCAACCCAAAAACAAAGAAGACATACCTGATGACCGAATCAACCCTAAAAACAACATACCTAATGTCCTTGCCAACCCTAAAAACACAACAAAAGACTTTGGCAAAAATCCCAGAAACACGTTGCCAAGTGCGGCGTCAGCAGCACCAGTCACCACCTGAGCTGGGCACGAGATCCAACCCCCCCCCCGCTCCTGTTTCCTGTAACCTCGTTTTGCTGAAGTCTCCCGAGGCGATAGATCTCCTTTGAAACCACCAGGAAGAAAATAGCAACAGTACCCTTAAGCAAATGGAAGGATAGCTTCAAAAAATACGGGGCACGGAGTGTTTGCCAACCATAGCAAAAGGCGGAGTTTGTCCTTGGCTCTGTCAGCAAAATAACCTGTCAGCGTTGGTTCATTAGCGCGCGTTCGGTGGCTATGCACTGGCTAGCGAACAACTGAAACATGATGCTTTTGAAAGTAGCGCAAGTTGAAAAGTCAAGTTGCGAAACTCCAGTGGCCAGTGGCTTGTCACAAGTGAATCCTAGAATCGAATTGGTTCCTTGTCGCTTCCAAAACATAGTCACCCAAGAATCAGCGAAGCTGAGGATCGGAGGCGTTTTGGACGACATGTACTTTCCTTTTCAGGAACCCACTTAGTGATGGTTGGTGCAACCCTTTTGTAGGCTGGCTTGAGGGTCCACGTGCTTTTCTTTCGTTCTGATGGAACCCCCTACTCCAAATACCCGGCCTGTTTTCAGTTGGTATTCATGTCGACCCTCTACTAGAAAAGGCCGTATTTACCACGGAAAACCAGGTTTTCCTAAAATACCAACTGGAAAAAAGGAAGAAACAACAACAACGAACCTTTTGCGGTTTTCAACTAAAAATTCCAACTGAAAAAAAGCGTTGGATTTTTTTTTGAGTAGGGGGAAACCAAAAGGAGGGTAGGGCCGTCCACTTGCCAATGACGGCATCCGGCTCGCCGAGGCGCGTTGAGCACCGCGAAATACCTCGCGCAGGTTTACGCGGCCGGGGGGGGGGATGTCTCATCCACTGTCCTGGAACTGCCCGCGTAACCTCCAAATACCCGTTCTTTCAGTTTGTTTTTGCAACCTGGTCTTCCACAGTTAATTCCTCCTTTTTTGGTAAAGGGTCGACATCATACCCTGAAAAAGAGGGGTATTTAGGGGGTCGGAACATATCAGGGACACCGACAGGTCACAAGGTCGGTTCACTTTGGTTGCGCGTGAGGTTGTTGGCACCACAACCCAACTGACCCTTTGATTGGAACCCAGAGGGAGCATGACCTTCTTGGCCTCCGAATCCTCTTGAACCTGCCCCCCCCCTTGGGCAAAATGGAGGCCTCTAAGAAATTTGGGGGGATAATGATTGCCCTGTAAATAACCAACAAATTGTCCCATGGTTTCCCATGGTTTAAAGGGCAATCATTATGGGTTTCCCACGGTTTTCCAGATAACAACAAACAATGGTTTCAACCATAGTTTCAATCTGGTGCATGGTATGAGTCGCCGAGAAAAGCGTAGTCTTCGTCCTTCCGCCCGAAGGCTGCGCTTTTCACAGCTTCAAGCAGGCCAAACACGGCGCCTTCAAAGGAACTTCGTAGGGGTTCCATGGCTGGCCTAGACCCCAGTCAAATATTTTTTCTCGTGAATGTCGACCCCAGCTGAATCAACCCCGGTTGATAAATTGCCCGGTTTGAACACCCCCATGGTGATAAACGGGGGGCTTTTGAATACGGGGTCAACATTGCTGGAAAAGCGCTCATCTTGCAGAATGCGTCCTGTGCGCGCATTTTGTTCACGTGAAGGGACCTGCTGGTGCTTCAATTTCTGGAAAACTGCTCTAGTCGGGGGCAGGCCCCTTACCAGGCACATCTCTTTTTGGGATTCCCTCGGTTTGCCTTTTGTGTTTTGCCTCCACGGCTTCTCTTCTTTCTGGATTTCCTGAAGAAATGAAAATATGTCCAGCAGTGATTTAAACTCCCTTAAAACCAACAGGGAAAACAATAGCAAGACGCTGAAGCGCAAATGCAAGGCCTCTTTCTGGGTTTTTTCTTGGTTTCCCTTTTAGCTTCCTTTTGTGGGGTCCCGATTCAAGTGTCCCATTTCATCCAAAGCGATTTTCTTCGGCGATGTCCCATGCGCGCTGAAACAAACCTGGGCAAAGACCCCACAGCGTTCAGCTGTGGGGGGGAGGGGGGAATAAACCTGACACTCCCTGTCCGAGCGAGGTGCGTGAAGGAGATGTAGAAGAGGAAGACCATGACCCAAATCCAGGAGATGGCCTTGGACGCAGGGCCATCAACGCCTCGCAAGTAACCACACGAGAAACCACAAAACCATGGTGAAGTACCCTGGCAAATGTGTCTTTGGACCACGGCACAGATGAGGAATAGAGTTTCGGGGCGCGTCACGTGTCAGAACGCAACAAGGCGACGAATTTCAGGGCTGTGGGAAATACCCACTTAATTCTGTGATCCTAGATCGCCAAGTTGCTGCTTTTTTCAGTCACTGTTGCTGGTTTTGGGGTAAAGTTCATGGAAACAAGCAGCAACTGGCGATCCCAAAGACTATTCCCCGTTTTTAAAATGGGGAGCCCTTGTATCACAGAATTTGTTGGATGAACCTCGAGTCATCCCACAACGCTCCGACGAACCTGGGCAAACTCGGGGTGGCCTGCAGCGGCACCAGGACTTGCTCCCAGCTGACGCCCCCCGCGATGCTCATAAACAGACTCAGCATCGCCAGCCTCAAGCGGCCCAGGCGCAAAAACCCACGAACAGCCCACATGGAACCGGAAGACTCGCTGTCTTCCCCCGCCCGGCACAAGCACAGCTATGTGGGGTGGGGCTGTTCCTGAAGAATCCAAGTTGATAAGCCCCTTATGAGGCCCTAATTACTGTGGATGGACGAAATCCTGCACCACCTAAGAAACCCTGGACTCATGATTCTCCTGTAAATACCAACAAACGTAATGGTTTCACATGGTTTCACCCATTATTTCCAAGTGGTGCGAAATGGTTTCGCAACCATCCACAGTATTAAGGGGCTAACCATCCCCCCCTTCCCTCCCCAGTTCGCCCTTCCTGTGCATGAGCCTCAGGAGGCAGAAACCGCAAAGAGTCGCGAGCAAATCCAAGGCCAATCAAACATATGGGTGGCTGGTGCCTTTTTCTGGAGGTGGTACCTCTTCTTGGTAGGTGTTCAAGGGAAACCAAAAGGGAAACACCGAAATCGATGTTGGATCCGGCTTCCGAGTCCTCTTTTAAAGGACCAGACACCCATATGCCTGTGCCTTGGGGTTGGGGCCTGCCCCAAAGGCTCCCGACTCCCAACTGGTCGGGCGTCCGAACTTGAGGTGTTGGCCCGTTTTGATGTCTCCAAAAGTTGTGTGCCTGCCTGGATCGCCAGTTGCGATCGCATTTGTTCCATGAACTTTACCCCAAAAACCAGCAACAGCGACTGAAAAAGCGATCGCAACTGGGCGATCTAAGTGGAGGAATGTGGGGATTCAGATAACTTTTGGAGGGGCCCCCACGCCACATCATGGCAAGTATGATCGGAGAACTAGGCAATCCTCTCTTGGATGAACTGCCCCATTCGGCCATGTTCATTGGGTTTCCGCCGTTTTCTGCTGCCAGTTCACTTTGAGAGAAACGGGGCAAACAGAGGCAGCTGTTTCTTGTGCCCAAAACCAGACCCTGCCGCTCAGAGCTATGAATAGGACGGGTTCTACTCGGAGCCAGGGTCAAAATCAGTAGAACCTCTTATCAAAATATGCCGATCCACGCTGCTGAAATGGCTCTTTTCCGGAGCCAAGGGCGACAGTGGCAATCCCATCCCATGGCTGCGTCATCAAAGTCAAGTCAAATGGTACCACACAAAGTGGCCCTAAACAGGCAAAAACCCTCTGCCATGTCTTTAGATGAACTTGAAGGAAAAAGCTCATGTTGCCCAAGAGGGATTCAGGTTCCTGCCTGAAAAGGGGGCATATCTCACTTCCGATCAAGTGGATGATGGGCCCAAAAAGTAACCCAACTGCTGGTTTACTACCAAGATTGTCTTCCCAAAACGTGACTCAGGGAGTAAGATATGCCTCCCCCCAATGTTTTGGGGGAGAAGTGTTGTGGATGGCCGCGAAATCCATTTCGCAGCTAAAAAACCCTAGTTTCTGATGATTCCCCAGCGTAAACACCAAATTTACAATGGTTTCAACCATGGTTTTCAAGTGGTGCAAGAAGCACATCTCGCAACCATCCACAGTAGGTCTCAAACTTCTCGGACCCTTCCTTCCGTGTGCCTCGTGGCTTGGATATTATTCCAATGGATGGTGTCCTCTTTAGGTGTCTCTTTTGTGAGAAACCAAAGGGAAACCAACCATTTGGGGCGGGGCTCCTCTGAAAAAACGACGCACCCATTTACCCTGTAGGGGTTCCTCTACCCCCAAACCACTCCAAGCCACCAAAGGGTTGCCTGATTCGTGCAACGAACAAAGTGTGCGGAAAGAAAACACATCCCTAGATAGCCAAGTTGCGATCGCTTTCAGTCAGTCAAAAAAGCGAAGCGATCAGGGTGTCAAGGAGAAAAAACCAGCCACCAACTTTGGTGCCTGCTTTGTGCAACGAATACAGCGTGAAAAGAAGAAACCATCGGTGCCCACACTTGGTTGCTGTTGACCCCCCTGTAAAAAGTTTAACTCTTTGAAGTTTAGTGGAAAACCCCTTGAATTCAACCAAACAGCTAACGTCTAAAGACCCGTTGCCCAATAGCAGTGAAGCACAAAGTCATCCGGGGCACCAAAGGTTTCCAAAGTAGATCTCCGACATGGCCAAGGCCTGGCGACACGAAGCAAGCACGCGCGAGAAATACGAAACAATAGGTGACAGAGATAAAGAGATGTCCAAAAGAGAAGTAACTAATATAAGAATATGCTGTGGGACATCTCTCTGCCACTTCTCTTTCTCTTTCATGCTTCATTCAGAACTCAAGGAAATGTCAATTGATGAAGCATGAAAAAGGGAAGGGAATGGGCTCGCTATTCATCATGTGTGCTCACCCATTGACAATTTACCGCGAGCGAAGGCAGCGGGGAAATGGGTGAGTGAGGAAGGACATGCTTCTCTCGTCCACTCACCAATGAAGGTTGACCGTGTACTCGCGAATCATTGGAACGAGGAGAGGGGAACGCGAAATTCGACCACTCAACCTCTGGATGTCGCAGATGTCTTTTTTATGTGCGTTCTTTGCCCCTGGCGTTTCCCCGCCCCCTCCCCCGGGAAAGATGAGAACAGATATCCATGTCCAAAATCGATTCCCTGCCAAAAATAGCGGGGGAAAACAAGTCTTAAGCAAGTGGAAGTTGCTGATGATGAGGGGGGTACCCCACTCATAAGCATTAAACGTTGCTCAAGGAGGGAGGCGTCGCTAGCGTAGGTGTCCAGGTAGTTTCTACCTTGATTAATGCCGCTGGGCACAACTCCTGCACTAACTGGCATGGACGAAACCGTATGAAGTATGCGGAAAACCACCAACTAGTGCAGAATTTTGCCCGGGCACAGTCGGTTGGCATCCCCTTTTGGAGGAGATCTCTTCTTCTTCTTCTTCTTCTGCGTCTTCGTCTTCTTCTTCTTCTTCTTCTTCTTCTTCTTCTTCTTCTTCTTCTTCCTCTTCCTCTTCCTCTTCCTCTTGTGCTTCTTCTCACTTCCTGAGTGGACCATATGCAAATTTTGTTTGCCACTACAATGATCTTCCCAACAGCGTATGAAGCCCAGGGACTCAGGGACTGAGTAGAGACATGCGTTGTGGATGTCAGCTGTTCGCCATCAGAACGCGTCAAGTTGAGTCTGAATCTGACTGCTGTCACCGATGTACATGCCCCAGATCACAGCAGAGCCGTCGTCCAGGATGGCAACAAAAGCTGTTTTAGTTGCTAGGACCTGCTGGACATTGACCAGCTGCTCCCGCACCTGGCTGCTATCACCGCCACGGTCAGGATCGCCCCAAGTCACCACAGAGCCCTCGTCCAGGATGGCAGCAAAAGCTCTCTGCGTTGCTTGGATCTTCTGAACACGCACCAGCTGCTCTCGCACATCGCTGCAGTCGCCGCCAAGCAATAGATCGCCCCAAGTCACCACAGAGCTGTCATCGAGGATGGCAGCAAAAGCACCTGCAGTTCCTTGGATCTGCTGGACGCCCACCAACTGCTCTCGCACCAGGCTGCTGTCACCACCAGCCTCTCGATTGCCCCAAGCCACAACTGAGCCGTCGTCCAGAATGGCAGCAAAAGCAGCACTAGTTGCTTGGATCTGTCGGACGCGCATCAACTGCTCACGCACCTCACTGCCATCACCGCCAAAGCCAGGATCGCCCCAAGTCACCACAGAGGAGTCGTCCAGGATTGCAGCAAACGAACGCTCATTCGCTTGGATGTGCCGGACATTCACCAGCGCCTTTTGCACCTGCCTGCTGTCACCGCCACGTCTAGACAGGCCCCAAGTCACGACGGAGCCGTCGTCCAGGATGGCGGCAAAAGCATGGTCAGTTGCCTGGATGTGCTGGACGTTGATCAACTGCTCTTGCACCATGCTGCTGTCACCGCCAAAAGCAGGATTGCCCCAAGTCACCACAGAGCCATCCTCCAGGATGGCAGCAAAAGCTCTAGATGTCCCTTGGATCAATCTGACTCGCACCAGCTGCTCTTGCACCTGGCTGCTGTCACCGCCATCATAGGGAGCACCCCAAGTCACTACACCGCCATCCTCCAGGATGGCAGCGAAAGCATACGCAGTTGCTTCAATCCGTTTGACCTGCATCAGCTGTTCTTGCACAGGGCTGCCATCACCGCCATAGACAGGGTCACCCCATGCGAGCGCGGCGCATCCGGCAGCGTACAGCGCGAAGGCTTCATCAGTGGAAGCTAGCTTCACGGGCTGCACAATGGCATCCATGCGGTCCCCATCTTGCACGCCCAGGTCACTCAAAGTGGACGACAGGTCTAGCGTCTCACCCCTAAAGGCAAGCCTCAGAAAGCGGCGCTTGAAGTGTCGCTGCGCCTCCGCCTTCACGTCGCGAATGCTTGTGTGCGGCGAAGGAAGCGCTACGGAGCAACTCTTCCCACTCGGCAAATACACGTGCACGGAAAGCATGGCTTTCTTCTGGACGCAGGAAAGCCAAAGGAAGGAAAGAGGCAGCAAAACACGGGAAACCCCTCGGAAAAGCAAAAGGAAGCCCAAGGAAAACCCGGAAAACCACCGGTGGGAAATGAGCGCCTCAAGCCCCGAGCCAAGGAAAATGGGCCTGAATTCCCAATTCGGGACCCGGTGCACGTGAAGGTGTGGGATTCATATCCACGAGGTGTTTCCAACCCTGCGGTTCGTAGCCAAAAGCACCGCTTAGCGGATTTCCCCGGCGCTGTGCTCCAAGAAAAGAGCACAACGCGGTGGCGTGGGCATTGGCTCAAAAAAAATGTACCCAAAATGGGACCCTGATAAGTGGAAATATGGACCAAAACCTGCATAACCCCTTCTGTTTAATGTTGAGCCACACCCATTTCGCACCACCGAGAAAAAAAAATGGTTGAAACCACAACGTTTGTTGGTATGTGCAGGGGAATCATTAGACACCTAGGTTTCTGATTCCGGTGGTGCGAGAGGCAAAATTTTCGCGTCCATCCACAGTAGGGTCTTCTAAGGGGCTTGTCAACTTGGTCTTATTGGGGTCCGATTTTTTCTTCCTTACCGCTAGAATGGTCTTCCCAAAAAGTTGCTTAAAGTTCATGAACTCAGGAAGTGCGACCAAAAGCACCCCCATGACTTCAGACCCTCGAAACCCTCCAGGCTCCGACCGAAAGGCACCTGGTCGGAGAGCGGCGGCAGGGCGGGGTCGGTGATGTGATCGTTCACCGCCTAGTCCGAGTTCACCCGGCCGACTTGGCGGTCGATTTCGCGAAATCCGTGGGTGGATGGACGCGAAATCCATTTGCTTCTCGCTTCTCGCAGCACTTGGAAACCAGGGTTGAAGCCATTGTGTGGTGGTATTTACCTAGGAATCATCATTCCAGGGGTTCTTAGGTGCAGGATTTCGTCCATCCGCAGTAGGTTGGACCCACCAAGTGGGTGGTTTTCCTTCTGGCTTTTCCCTGAAAATTCCCATTTTGGTTTCCCCTTGAAAGAACCAAAAGGGGGAGTCCGAAAAAGACACACCCATTTCAACTCGCGGCTCTGGCACTTTGAAAGAGGCCTGCAAAGGGGTTGGCGTCCTTTGATATCGCTGGTCATTGGCGTGACCGACTCGCCCCTTAGACCTTTTCAAGCAACATGCTTTCCATTCTAGACCTTTTTGCTCAGAAAAGCAGAGCCGAGATGATTGCTTGGGTTGCAAGGTGAGAGTACCGCCCGTTGCGGGCGGTTGAATGGTTTTCCTCGTTTTGTCTTTTAGTCAAGGCCCCAAGCGGTGATTATCAAGTAAGCCTCAATTGGTGGCTTGGATTGGTTGTTTGGTGGTTAGGGAGTGGTTGTTCATGTCCCCAAACCAATCCAATCCACCAATTAAGGTTCGGGTGAGACTACCTTTCACTTCCAGGTGCTTTCCTCAAGTGAGACCATGCGTCTAATGCTGGACGATGATTGGGGCTCAGACCAGTAAGCAAGGGGAGGGCTGCTCGATGTGCTCGGCATTGTGTTGAACCTCTTTACCCATGTTGAAAGCTACAAGTGTTGAGTGGGATCGAGGAAGACGTTCCAGGTATAGCAAGGCTCCGCTCAAGAGTCGTAACCAAGCCTACTTCCTTACAATTGGCGTGGAACCAACATCGGCATAATTTCTAGAGCATGCTCTTGTGGGGGAGGCGGGGCTGTTTGGAGGGTTCCGTGTCAATGTTCATGGCCCTGAAGCCGGGAGGTTTCCTTCACGCAGACTGGGCTCAGAAAAGTGACATCCGCAAAATATTGTCCACAATTGTTGGCGGGGGCTGTTCAAAGGCAACCCTCATACCTTGGCTTTTTGTTTGGGCCCCTTTGCAATGGTTTCAATCTAAGAGATCGAGGAGGATGGCCAACCCAAGCCCGCGGTTGAACTTAAGGGAAGCAGCCTTGACTGGCCGATTTTTCAGACAGTGACATTTGGTAGAAAGAAAAAAGGATCGGAACTCTGCTTGCTTTGTTTGACCAAAAGTTGGAGGCTATGGTGCCCTCACGGCTTCCACCTGTGGAGGAAGCAAGTGGGAACCCCAACCAAGTGGCAACTTGTGGGGTGATTGACAGGTCCCCTAAGCGCCCCAAAACCCGAGCTCCCAAAAAAAACGGTCGGAACCAAAGGCCAGCGCCTAACCGCCCCCCTGAAAAAAAGAAAGATGAAAGAAGGGCAGGTCCATTTTATTGATCCCCTTCGAACTCGGAAGGGGGGGAAAATCATGTTCGATGTTCCAGAGAAGCAAATGGAAGATAGAGAAGCAAGGCACCAAGCGTCTTGAACCACAATCTCGAGACCGAGTCCCAGCATCCTGCCTGGGCAAAAAGGATTCCAAACACGTACACGATCAGCGTCAGCAGAACCAGCGCCTCTCAAAAAGGGGGGGGGGGGGGGTGGAGGCATGAGTCAGGCGAGGCGTCTCAAGATGGGCCCTGTTTGTCTCATGGCGCAAGTTGAAGGAGGGCCAAAAGTACATCAAAGTCGAAGAAGAAACCGGGTTCGGACAAAAACTCTGCAAAATGAAAGCCAAAGAACGGAGTTGGACTCCTGCAAAAATTGGGTGGTTTCCCCAAAGGAATGGTGTTTTCTTCGGGGCTCACTACGGTTCAGAAATACTCCCTGAAAGACAGAGCAACAACTGTTTGACGGCTGAAATGGAACATGTTTAGGGAAACCAAAGCGTCCGTTTGCTTCTTCGCTCCCTGGAGAAAATGAGAAAACATTGCCAATTGTGAAATCATGTGAAAACGATTCCCTCTAAACCAACAGGGGAAAATTGCAAACATGTGTTTCAGCAAATCATGGCTGCAAGTTCTACCCCCTACTCCACATACCCGCTTTTTTCAGGGAATCATGTCGACCCTCTACTAAAAATGGAGGTATTTACGGTGGAAGACCAGGTTTTCCCAAACATACCAACTGAAAGAAGCGGGTATTTTGAGTAGGGGGTAAGATATGCAATCTGTGTGGATTGCAATGGTTTTTCATTCGAAGCACTAAACCACCAACATCGATGCCAGGCACCTGGCGATCAGCGCGTCCAAATCCCGTTTCACACTTACCCTCCTACCAATTCAAAACCGGAACCTGACAGGGGTCCCTTTAAAAGGAAAAGGACCCCCCCTTTCAGGTTCCATGTTCTTGGGTGGGAGGGTAACCAAAGAGAATTAGTTGGTTGGGAACTCGGTTGCCACAAACCGAATGGCGTTGAAAGGAAACCGCCATGAAACCGGTCTGCCCCCGGTTTGGAAAAGTACCCCCTGCTCAACATACCAATCGGCTTTTTTCAGGGTAGGTTTGGGAAAACCCATCGGCTTTCCTTTTTTAGTGGGTCGACTTGATACCCTGAAAAAAAGGTGTTTAGGTCACAGCACAGACCGGTCATGGAGTAATTGGTGGCCAGGGTGCCTTCCTTTTTCCAAACCCAGCCACAGACAAACCCACCCAGGGGCTCCGTGATGGCTGGCATCGGCACAAAGCCAAAGATCTTTTCAACAGGGGTCACTGGAGTTCCCCGAGTCAAAAGCTGAATCAATCTGCTGACTCCTATTATCTTGGTTGCTGTTGACCCCCCTGCAAAAAAGTTTCTCGTTTTGGGCGTTTAGTGCAAAACCCCTTGATTTCCCAAAAAGTTAAAGTCTAAAGATCCAACTCAATAGCACTCAAGTGCTGAATGAAAGCTATGGGGTCGTTACTCTCTGCCCAGAAATCGGCTCGTTTGGGGTGGTCTGGGTTGCAGCTTTCACGGAGGGTTCAAAAGGAGATTCGGTTCCAGAAATTTCCGGGGCTGTTGGGGGTACCACCTGGGGCCTATTTTTTGGGGGTGGGTTGAAGACGACGTCCTGATTTGGAAAGCTCCAAAAGTGGGGGGTTGAATATGGCCATGAGTCAAAACACCGGTTATCTCCCAGTGAACATCCCAATCCAACCACTAGAATAGGTTTTAAAATGGGTGGTGAATTCACCTATCCCAAAATGGTATTCCATTGGTTTTGAACCATGGCCATATGGGGAAGTAGGCCTGAAATTCCAACCACTCTCTCTCTCTCTCTAGAGTTGCGTCCAGTCACGGTCCAGTGCCAGGCAACGAAACAAAGCAGTCCAGGTATTGTTGGGCAAACCGGTCGGTTTTCCACGGTAAATACCTCCTTTTTTAGTGGAGGGGCCGGGTATTTGGAGTAGGGGGCACTTGGAACTCCGGCTTTGAGTTGCTTTCTGAGCCGAGCTGCCCAAATCAGAGACTTCCTCAGCGACACTCCGAATCGAAGGCATCCGGGTTGGCACCCGCATGCTTCTTGGTACCCCACGGAAAAAGTCTGCTTCGAGCAGCTTTTGGGCAAGAACACGGGAACTGAGGGGAAACAGGTTTCTACTGTAGAGGGCTTCGCGAAATCCGCTCGCCACGAAAGCAAACCATGGTGGAAAGCATAAGGCTCACTGGCTACAGGGGAATCGAATCAGAAACCAGGGCTTCTTGGTGCAGGAGTTTGTCCATCCACAGGTCATTTCGATTTCGATTTGATGGGGAGCTCGAGACTTGGTTGACGTTGGAAGGAGGGCAAACATTTAAATCTTAGCAGTTAAGTGCGGATTTCCCACTAAACCACAATAAGCAAAAATGCAAAATGTTTCCCAACAACAACCATGGAGAACGTGGAGTTCGGAGCCGCCTTTTGGCGCCAGGTTGTTTTTGAAGGGGTTTCCACCTGGGAACCAAAACGGCAGAGGGGGATTGGCGTCTTCATCCCCATGAGAAACGCCCGTGTGGGTCCGTCTTTTTTGTGGGTTTAAAGGGAAATGAATAGGACAACCACCATCTTGCGGCTCCCCCCCAAAACAAAACGGCTTCCGCAACCGGGGCTTCAGACCTTTGGTTCAGCGGCCAGTTTCGACCGAATCCAGTTGTCGGGGGAAAAGCCACGAAAACCAGACCAAGTGGAAACAACTTTAGGCAAAAGCTGGGATCGATATGGGTGAGGATGGCCAGAAGGAAAGAAAAAAAGGCCGTGGCCGATGGTTTTGGGCGCTCCTTTTGAAACCTACTAAAGACCAAAGCAGGCAACACCAAAAGTGATCAGATCCGTTCAATTCACGTGCAAGTGGGCGACCCAACACAACCACTCCTGTTAAGCCTGCTAAGTTACTTGAGGTTTTGCGTTCTGGGTGCAACAAGGAAGAGTTTTTGGGTTCTTTTTATTGCGCGAACTCCCACTTTCCGCCGGGGAAAGGGGGGGGGAGAAAAACAAAAAAAAACAATCCAACGAAGTGTCAGCGTGTACAAAATGGACTGCGTGAGCGTGCGCAGCGCCATCACGAAGCGCAGCAGCCGCGTGATCCGCGCGATCTTCACCTTGCGGAGCTGTCTTGCACCAGCGCGCGCGCGAAGGCGCGCGCAGGCGCGCAGGCGCGATGTGGACGGGAGCGACCCGGCGCTTCAAGGTCCCCCCCTTCTATATGCACCAGCCTGGATCACCAGTTGCGATCGCTTCTGTTTCATCCACTTTACCCCAAAAACCGATCGCAACAGTGACTGAAAAGAGCGAAAAATCAACTTGGCGATCTAGGAGGTGGCTGTTTGGGCGCATGCGAGGGGCTCTTTCAGAGGATGCCTCTTTGGTTTTCAGTCGATCAAATGTGCACTCAGTGGCTACATCTTCTGAAGGGAGAAACACAAAGAGGAAAGGCCAATTGACCCGACTTAGAAAGTTGCAGTTGGATGAATGAAACTTGGATGAATGAAACCAGGCATACGTCCAGCCCGTTCGGGTATGGGCATCCCCTTTGCTGAACCAAATAAAGACAGTTGTCCCCCGCAAGCCAACAAAATGTGTATATACGTATTTCAATAAATAAGTATTCAAGTACATGTGGAGTAGGGGTCCCCACTAAGGCAGCTAGGGCCCCAACCCCAACCCCCCCCCCCCCCCCCCGCGCCAGCCGCGTGATGCGCACGATCCGCAAGGTCCGCAGCCCTGCGAGGCCGACCACGGATTCCAGGCCTGGCGCATCAACAAAAGCAGTCGGAAACCGAATGCGTCCCGAGATTCGCCGGAAAGTTGCAGCCTGCAATTTTCCTTTCGGCATCTGTGAGGTGGCAAAGCCAGGTTTACACGGAAACAGCTTCACGTGAGTGACAACCCAGGTTACTCGCCTGTTGGCAACAGGGTGCAGGATGGTTGGTCAGTTCCAGCCCATTTGGGTTCATCCACCTTGACTTAGCGACTTACCCAAACAATGGGCTGCCTAGATGGCCAAGTTGCTTTTTCTGTTTTTTTTTTTCCAGTCACTGTTGCGATCTGTTTTTGGGGTCAAAAAACATGGAACGAAGCGAAAAAGCCACTGGCGATCCAGGCATGGGTTTTTAAGGACATCTTCCATACCGATGTTTTTTGGATTGAATGTTGACCCCAGAATGAATTTAGCATGGGATTGTACCTACTTATCCCGGTTAATTCGCCTCAAAGTTGACATGGGTGCGTGACATCGGTTGCTGGAAAAAAGAGGGTTGTTCTGATTTAAAAAACACAAAACTTATCATGGGGTGTGTAAGGGCATTTTTTTATGTACAGAAACTTACCGTGGTTTGGTTTTGTGGTCACTAGGTTGCTTTTGCACGCGCATGTTTGGTTTTTCACTTTTTGTGGTTTACTTACCCGCTGTACGGTGTCTATGTCCCGATCCCATTTAAAGAAACCATACCTTTTTCACTTGTACGGTAGCCTTAAGGTCGCGGAGCCAGGGTGGATGCCCTAACTAATCTAACTAACTCAATTACAACCAACTACGCACCACAAAGCCCATACTGTTTGTTTGCAAACTAGGAGGGTTGCCTTCTCCCCCCTTCTGGTTCATTCCCACCATCCGGACTTGGCCCAAAGCCGCGCCGTCCACGTGGAAGGCGTAGGCGATCTCAACGAAAGCCTCCCACCAGCTGCTGAGCCTGAGTCAATCCATCCGGCTCGGTCTCACCCTAAGAGGAGTGTCAACCATTGGAACCACCCCGGCCCCAGCCAAATTACTATGGCAGGAGCCACCTGGTCACTTGGCAGCTGAGGTAATCCTCTCTTGGATGTGCGGCTCGAGCTCCCAAACCCTGGGCACTGCTGGATCAAAAACTACCCCCTACTCAAAATACCCGTCTTTTTCAGGGTATTTTTGGGGAAACCTGGCATTCCATGGTACATACCCCCCTTCATACCCTGAAAAACGAGGGTGTTTGGAGTAGGGCGTAGCCTGGCCACTTCGAGCGGCACACCAGCAAGCAAATAAAGATCGTCCACGCAAGCATTTAAATATGTGACTCAAAAACGAATCTTCCTTCACTCACCCGGTCAGTCGGTTGGGTTGGTGGCTTGGGCTGGAAGCTGCTGGTGAGTTGGTAGGTTGGTAGGTTGGTAGGTTGGTCGGTTGGTTGGTGGTGGGTGGGGTGGGTGGGTGGCTGGCTGGTAGGTTGGTCGGTTGGTTGGTGCGGCTGGGAGCGGTTTGGGCCCAAATCCAGACTGAACTCGGACTCGGCAGACCCACAAGTTGTTTTCTTCTGGGGCTTTCAATGGAAGTCCTGACCCTCCATTAGACACCCTCAAAACCAGGTTGTTTGAGATTGGTTGGTCGGTTGGTTGGTGGGGGTGGGTGGTTCTCCCTCCAATGCTTCTGAGCCACAATGAATAGCAATCAAGACAGCAGCGCGTATGATGGACAGACCAGCTAACCAGCTCTCTCGCTGGATGAAAGCGCCCCTGCTTTCATGGGCCAAGCGGCACGATGAAGAGGTCCAGGAGGTTCCACTTCCTGTCTTCCCAACTCAAGGGAAACAGGACTCCAGAGTTACTTTCCTTGTAAACACCTCACAATGGCTCTCACTATGAGCTCAGCTAGCTTCCCTCTTAGCCTGGTGATTTGGAGGTGTGCATGGGTGACCTGTTGGAAAAATAGATGGGTTCCCCAGATAAATCCGGGATAACCTATGAATCCTGGCTCTGAATAGGTGGGTTTAACCACCAGCAAATCTTGAGAGGAGACCATCCGAAGCCCTGCGGCGTGCTTCTGGGAGAATGGAAACGACAAAACTAGTTAATGGTTGTTGAGAAAAAACAACATAACAGAACAACACCAAAAACAAACAAATTCACCACCAAAGGCCGCAAGCAGTTTAAGCCAATCCCCGCAGAGCATGGTGCCCTTGCTACGCTGGCACCCGGCACGCCGGCGCCGGTGCTGGGACCCGGCGCCGTTCAAGACAAAAGAAGATGAGGAGACTAATCCAAGCGAACCCAGCTTGGAGCACATTAAAACAAGAAAAACGACAAGGGGAAACAAAGGGAGACAAGGCGGCAGGAACCCGTCCAGGCAAACCCGTCTCCTCTTAAATAGAATCAAGAACCCCTACAGTACACTGTTTGGGGGGGGGGGGGGAACGACAGCAAGACAATAACATCTATATATATATATACAGAATATATATATATATATATGTTTACATAACATATAAACACATATCTATATATACATACATGTATGCATGCATGCATGTAAGTATCTTCCGCTGCCGAGCTTCATGTCCCTGCCGCAGAGGAAGGAGCGGCACCCAGAGGCGCAGATCCGCAGCAGCAGCTCCATGGAGAAGAGCCCCGTGTAGACGTTCCGCACCACCTGAGAGTCATGATCTAGTAAAAATTTGATCTTCAGTCCCCTGTACAAAATGAAAAACATATTTCCAACAGTGAAATCGACAACTTTTAAAACCAAAAGGGGGAATTCTAAGGGTACCTTCCTTTTCCATTCGTTCCAGGGACCCGAATCTTTCTAGAAAGCCTTCGGAAACCCAGGTTGGAAACGGATCCGGCTTTTGGAAGGACGATGGTTGAAAAGAATGGGGAATCAACCCCTAGAATGGAGGTATTTAACGTCTTTCCCCCGAAAGCTTGTGCGGTTACTTGGAGTAGGGGGTAGCAAAAGAACAGAAGGGGTCACGCGAAAAGGATGTTTGCACAACTCCAGGCACCGCAGCGACCTGCTCTCTAAATGAACTGGTTTTTCCCAAAAGTTTTTGCGGTGATTTGGAGTAGGGGGTAGCTGGTGGTTTGCATTGCTCGGATTTGGATTTGTTTTCACCCTTTCCCGGTTCTTGTTGAGGGCAAATGGAAAAAAAGGCCACCCCTTAGGTCAGACTAACCCGAAGCTCCGGCCCATTTTTTTGCGGGGACGACCTCAAGGTCCCTGGCTCGCTCGCATAAGGGAGATGGAGGATGAAGATGGCACCAACAAACAAAGTACTTCAAAATATGAGAAGTGGCATCTCTATATCTCTTCTCTTCGTTCGTCTGGTCCTTCCTCTTCACTTCGTACTTCGTCTATCCCATTCCTCCCTCCACAAATGAACCGCTATATTGAGGAGAAAGATGCGGCTACCCTCCTTCAAACCCCGCACTTGGGCTAAGTCCCTAGGTCCCCAGCTGAAAGCTCTGAAAACTTTCAGCGGGTGAAGGCGGAAACCCAACCAAAACAAGCAAGAAAGCGAAAAGAGCGGAACCGGATGCTGAGGCTTGCCAAGTTCACATGGAAGCTCCCCCAATGGGCCTCCGATGGAAATAAAAGCTGCATTTCGGGGTCTAGCTTCCATGGAAACCAACTGGGGGGGAGGGCAATCAAAACCGATCGTAACTTGCTGGTTCGATAGGCAGGGAAGGCGAATTGGAATGACCCTCTATAAATTAATCCATCCTGTGGTTCCTGTCAGGGCATCCCTCCCTGCGCCATTCCCTACTGAGCACCTACCACTCAGTGTCCCCTTTTTGAGGACCCAGCATGAAATTGAATAGGTCTTGGGGAGCTCCCCCGTGAACTTCTGTAACCCGAGAAAACCCAAACTGGGTGCTTTTCTTTTCTCAGATGCGTGTCTCAGGTTCCGGAAAGGAAGATGCCAAAGCCAGAATGTTGCAAGTACACCTACTTGAAGCCACGGGCCTAGCAAAAAAACAAACTACTTGAAGCGCGGCGAAGCTCGCGGCCAAACCGCCGCTTCCAACAAAAAACCGCCATGCGAGAACTAAGAAGACGAAAAGATTATTATTATTTTAAAAAAAAAAAAAGCTGAGAGACCACCAAAAAAAGCCGTGTTTACATGGACAATCACAGCCCAAGAAACGCTTCAGCCGCTGGGTTCCCGTGTGCCAAGCGAACCGATCTGGGCGAGAATTTGTCTGCCTGGATCATCACGCTCTCGGGCCCCGGGTTCTCCAGGTTGTACTGCACCTCGGCGAGCAGTTGGACAATTTGGTGGCCCCACACGAGTAAACTTGGGTGGCCGTTGGGTTTGGGGAGTTGTTCTCCTTTTTTTTTTAAGATTTTGGCAGTTCAGTGGATTTGGATTTCAACCACTAAACCACAAGAAGCAAAATGGAAAATGTGTCCCAACAACAACCATGAGTCGACCAACCTGTTGGTTCATAGAGGGCTGGTTCCATCCTGGGTGACATGCGGCTATGGGATCCGACCACTTTTGGCAGGGCCAACAAAAACTCCACCCCCATATTAACAAACAGGGGTTGATGAGTCATGCGGGGTCAACAGTACAAGACTTGAAAAGATACCCTCCCGCCAATTAACATGGAACGTGATAGGGGTCCTGGAAGACCATGTTTCCCTTTTAAGGGACCCCCCCCCGGTCAGCCATGTCAATTGGAGGCATTTGTAGGAAGGCACCTGGAAGATCAGTTTCCCCTGCGAGGGACCCTAGGTGACACGGCAACGTGGGAGGGAGGGCATATGTTCTCACATGGTACCATTCAAAATGTTAGCTTGCAAAATCTGGGTTTATCAAAACAGAAAAAGACACTGCAGAAAAGATCGCTTTGTCCTGCCTGGATTGGTCGCATATTATGTCCAACCATGTCCAACCATCCAACCCCTGGTCGGGAACCCAGGGAGGCTCTCCAAAAAAACGCGGTTTACACGGTCAACTTGAAACATGTACGAGACGACAAAACGAACACCCACCAAGAAAAGAATGGGCCCCCTCCACCTCTCCCAAAAGCAACCCAATACAACCCCCAACCCCCCCAAGCAAAGCCCCCTGGAAAAAATGAGACAATATGTCTAGTAGTGAAATCAATTCCCCTTAAAACCAACAGGGGCAAACTAAACAAATACTACGCAGATGGAAGAATATGACCCCCCCAATCCAGGACCCGTTTTCCGTTTTCATCCCTCATCGCCTCAAAGCCGATGAAGACCATGTTCGTCAAAATGGCCACAGCCTGCTTCCGCTTCCCCCGCGAATGGCGAAGCCAGGGGCGGGGGGAAGAAGAAAAAAAAAGCCCCCAGGCCCATTGTCGTCCCTTCTTGTTGTCTTGTCCTGGATCGCCAGGTGCGATCGCTTGTTTCCATGCACTTGTCCCCAAAAACCGATCGCAACAGTGACTGAAAAAAAAGAAGACGCAATTTGGCTATCTAGGGTGGTCTGGTTTCTGTTGTTGCTTTGTTGCTTTGTTGCTCTGTTGCTGCTTCAGGCCGCTGGTGTCATGGTGGCACATACCCCCCCCCCCCTCATTCCTCCAAACACCTGCTTTGTTCAGTTGGTATTTTGGACCTGGGTTTCCGCGGTAAAGACCTCTTTTTCTAGCTTGAAGGGTCGGAAGGAAACAGGCGAGCAAACGGAAGGCGCGAGGAAGCTCTGGTTAAATTTTGTTCGGAAGGCCTTATGTTGCAGGTCAGTCAACCTTCCGTCCGGGTTTTGCAGCTTCCCCCTCCTTGGCGACTTGGATTGGTGGTTTGGAGCTTGCGGGTGGGTTGTTCAAGAATCAGGGGTTCCTGTACCCAAACCAATCCAGCAACCTGAAATGGCTCCAAGGTGGATCGCCGGAAATGGGTTTCCGTTGGCTTCCGTGCAACTGGTTTAAGCACAGTTTGGTCTGCTCAAAGGCACAAACCTCAAGCCGAAAGGCGAAGAAGACGTCGAAGTGGTTGGAGAACACGAAGGCGTGCAGACAGGAGCCGTTCGCCACGCTCATGGTCTGGCTCGCTAGCGACTCCTTCTTCGCCTCACGGAGGGTTCAAGACAACTCCAGCCCGACCCACCTGTGTATCTAGTCCCTTCAATGCCCATTTGAGTATGGGTCAAAATTAAACCACGGGACCGCAGGTTCTAGTCCATGTTTCCATTTACCAGGGTTCCATTTTGGGGTTACCCTATTTTTGACCCACACCCATTTGATGTCCGGTGTTTGTTTCTACAAAAAGGGGGCCGGTCAACAGAACGGGAGGTGTCCATCCATGAATGGTCCAAGCCGAGTCCGTAGCCCATGCCACTTGGACGCACGAGTGAAACGTGGGAGCAACTGCACGGCATCGGTCCTTGACGTGGGAGCGAGCCGCAGATGAGCGAAATCCCGACGAAAAGAACAAAGAACCCTTGGTTTCGGATTCGATTCGCCGGTACATGTGGTAAAAGCAACTAGGTTCCTCCAGATTTGAGAGGTTAGAATAAGGGTACCCGATCTTTTTCTGGAGTCTATTTTAGTAGGGGAACCCTCCCCCCAAAAAAGGGTAAAAGGGCACTACTTGGGGGACCTAGGCAAATACAAACCCTTGGTTTCTGATGATCCGGCACATGTGAGGTTTCAACCCATGGGTGTCCCTGTCGCGGTTTGCTTTTTCCTGAAATTCGCGACACCCTCCGCGGCATGAGCTCCGTCAAGGGGCCCCCTTTGAGCTCTTTTGGGGCTCACAAAGGGGAGGGTCCTCACCTTCCGGAGGCCGCCGCGACCGGTCATCTTCTGGGTGCTTGGCCAAGTTCCCAAGTGTATTGGGAATGAACCTACCCAGAGGCTCCAATTCGATGGATTTCGGGCCTTCAAACAACCTGGCTTTGAGACCCCCAACCACCAATCCCCGGGGTGTCCAATGGAACGGTCGGGTCTTCCATTGAAAGCCCCAGGAGCCTCTGGGTAGTTCTTCCCTACAGGTATCGGAGGTGCTTTTTTCTCCGGGCTCCAACTCATTCCCTGCCTATCGACCAGCAAGTTTTGTGGAGCCACCATTTTGTAAGTCAGCTTCCCCCTAGTATCTCGTTGGAGGCTTTGAAGCGTTTTTTGTTTTTGATGGCTTCCCATTTACCCTCTGCCAGAACTAAGGGTTCGGATCCGAATCCAAACCACAAATCCAAATTTTAGACCACAAATGAAGGTTTATCTGATCTGTAGTGGGACACCACTACAACAAGGAACACCTACCACAATCTGGCATACGAATCTTGCGGGTGGAGTTCTAACAAAAGGCCTCCCTACATTCCCCAATGAAAGCTGCGCGCAAAGGGAAAATCATGGTGAATTGGCCCCCCCGAAAAAAATAAAAAAAAAAAAAAAAAAAAAAAAAAAAAAAATAAAAAAAAAGAAAAAATAAAAAAAAAAAAAAAAAAACAAAAAAAAAAAAAAAAAAAAAAAAGATAAAAAAAAAAAATAAAAAAATAAAAAAATAAAAAAAAAAAAAAAAAAAAAAAAAAATGAGACAATGTTAATTCTGGATTGGGTGTTTTTTCTTCACTGTGGATTTCCCTGTGTTCCCTTTGTGAGGCGCGCTTTCAGGATCCACAATCTTGTGGGGCGTGGGGTGGGGGGGAGGGCCCAAATAAGCCCTAAATCGCCCCCCTCCCCACCCTCCCCTCCCTGACCCCCACAAAATCGGAAATCTCAGAGGAATGTTTGGGGGAAATACTGTGGAAGGACGAAATCCATTTCGCACCCCCTAAGAAACCCTGGAATGATGATTCCCCTGTAAATACCAACCAGCACTGGTTTCAAACATGGTTTCCAAGTGGTGCGAAATTTCGCCCATCCACAGTAGGTCTTTTGTCAAGCTTTGAGACCCCCGACCACCTCACCTCTCTGGGGTGTCTGATGGAAGGGTCGGGTCTTCCATAAGCCGAAGCCGATCGGAGCATAGGTGTCCTTTCTGGGAAAATAGATGGCCCTGGTAGTTGATTGAACCACCAGGTAAACCAGGAATCGCCCTCTATTTTTCAACCAAACCAACCAAAAAGGACACCTATGGCCGATCGGAGCCTCTGAAGTCTTTCGCCTCGCCTTCGCCTGGTCCGCGTCCACATCTGCGGCCCCCTGCTTCAGCAGCATGTCCGCCTGGGTCAGCGAGCCTCGGTGCAGCGGTGCAGCGGTGCGAAACGCGCGCGCTGAAGCCCAACGAAACGAAAACCAAAACGCGGCGGAGGAAGGAAACCTGGTCACCCCAACAGAATCTCGGTGGCGAAATCTGCGAAGCCCTACGAAAAGTTTTTTCTTTAGTGGTTTAATACGGAAAACCCATTAGTTGGCAAAAAGTTAAAGTCCCAACATCCAAGCAAATGCACCAAAGCGAAGAGGGGAGG